GCTCTTCCAGCTGGTCCCCAACCCCTACCTGAACGTCCGCGGTGACGGGAGCCTGCACCTCGAGAGGGTTCGGCTGCAGGATGGGGGTGACTACACCTGCATGGCAAGTAATGTGGCTGGGACAAGCAACAAGACTACTACTGTCAATGTGTACGGTAAGGAAGGCTGACTTGTTGCCTTTGTACATTTCCTGCTAGCAGCAGCTCTCCCTGGAGCTTGTTTGTTGCGGTTCTACTGGTTCCTCCTCTGTAGCGATGGTGCTTTGTGAAGTAACGTGGTGGAAAAGTGGATCCACTGTGCAGGAAAAAACTGAGCCATTGAGACTGTTTTTAAGATAAAATGAAAAGAACACCGTGTTGTGATCATAAAAGATCCCAATTTTCAACATCTTAAAAAAGGTTGGGCTGTGCAGTCATGTTGCACTAACAAAACAGATGCAACTGGAAGTTTACTGAGAACCATGAAAAGCACTGTCTTGAGGAGCTTACTAACTGATAAATGGAATCACAACTCATTGGAGAATTAGAAATAAAATGAATTGTGAGTTTGGCAAAATGTCCACCACACCCCTTGGTCTGTCTTTAATTAAAACATACCAAAAACTACACTGTCAGCAATACAAAGTGTGAGCATTGTGGTAACCCATCTATATTTCAGCTGAAGACACTTGGATTAACTCTGTGGGATCTCAGCCACTTCATGGTTTACTGCCTGAAATTTTCTCATGTTAAATTAATCATGGGAGATGTATTTTAAGCGTCACTGAAGATACAGGAACATCCTTTTATGTTAAGAATAGCTATTATTTTGTAATACAGACAAGTACATGGTGTCTAATAAGGACTTGCATGTTAACACTAGTCTTTGAAATATTTCAGTATTTGAGAACAGAAAGGAATATATTTGTATGTTTTTAGAAGGATCTGCTTTTTGGTATTGTTGCCTTACATCTGATAATCTTTTTTTCTGCTGTTAATTCAAAACCAGCTCAGTTAAGTAGAGGAACTGGGGTTCTTGTTATCTTTTGTTGTTGATTTTGTGAAGTGATTAAATATTTTTTAGTTTGTTTAACAGTCCCTGCAGAAACCATCACTGCAGTCCCTGAAGAATGTTGTAGCATTTATAACAAAGATTAAATAAGCTTAGAGTGTGATCAGTTCATCACTCTAATATCTGCTCTGTTCAAAATGGAAATTGATTGAGATCCAAAAGTGCAGAACCCATTTTCATGAAAGGTGCTGTATAGGTTGAATCATGTACAATATCATTTTGGGAAGCTTGGCCTAAAATGTCATTGGGGGATATTGTAACCAAGACTTTCTTAAGTGATTGCAACCAGCTCTTTGAAATACCTGCAGGTAGCTTAAAACTCTGTAGCTGATGCAATGGCCAACCCATGGCTGACATGCTTTGTCATGAGCAGGTGTTTATTCTGTCATGAGTGACTGCAGAGCGGAGGGGAAGCTCATTAATAGGATGCAGTAAGGAGGCTGAAGATTCTCAAACCCTGCTGCCTGTATGAAGTAGTAATTGAATATAAGGACTTTATTGTAACGATTGTGCTGTTTAAAATCTGACTTCTGCGTGTGTTTAATATTTGCCTTTGGTTTTAGTTCTGCCTGTTATTCAGCATGGACAGCAGATATTCAGCACCATTGAAGGAATCCCAGTAACATTACCATGCAAAGCAAGTGGAGTTCCCAAGCCATCTATTGTCTGGTCCAAGGTAATTTCTTATCTTTGAGCAGTTCATGGTGAAAGCTTAATTGAACACATCATTTAGTTGTCATAAAAGCTGCATGCAAGAATTGCCAACAAAAGCCTCAGTTGTGAGAGACCTGAAAGTCTGGATCTTGTTTCTTAGAGCAGTGCTTTCTGGCCATGGTCCAGCTGTAGATCAGTGTTCTGTTCTTTAGAAGGGCTTTGGTTATCGCTGTATTGTTTTCCTCTGAACATCTTAGAAATTGTTCATATTCCTGTTAGGAGTCAATACTTTCAGAATAGGCAACCTGCCACAGGTTGAAAGTTCACTTTTGTTTTGGAGTCTTACTTTCAGGTGACTTTTTTTTTTCCTTCCAGAAAAGTGTGTCTAGTAATGGCATTCTAAGTGGGGTTAATCATCTGTCACTGTTCAGTCATGTCCTTGACAAGGTGTTTTGACTTCAGAAATCAGTGTCAAGGTTAACTCAGTTGAAATCTTTTTTTTTTTTTATTTGGATTTTGTAAAAATTAGCAAGTTTTCTGCAAGAGAATCCCTGTACTTCTGCTGTTTTTACTGCTTAGACAGTGAAACTCAGGGAGTGGGAAAAGTTAATTTGTATGGATGGAATTTTGGGGCTGGGCTTCTTAATTCAAAATATTTTGTCTATTTCAGCCATAAACAATAGAAGTAGTACTGTAATGTAAATTAGAATACTGCTCAGTTTTTTTTTTTTTTAATTGGGATCTGTAAAAATTAGCAAGTTTTCTGCAAGAGAATCCCTGTACTTCTGCTGTTTTTACTGCTTAGACAGTGAAACTCAGGGAGTGGGAAAAGTTAATTTGTATGGATGGAATTTTGGGGCTGGGCTTCTTAATTCAAAATATTTTGTCTATTTCAGCCATAAACAATAGAAGTAGTACTGTAATGTAAATTAGAATACTGCTCAGTTTAGTCAGACTGCCTGCAAATTATTTGCTCTACAGAACTGCATGAAAGAGCTTGGAGCGTACGGCACAGTGAAGAATCTGACCCAGAGTTATATTAAAAATACAGTGGTTTTCATATGAATGGATCACAGCAGTGGGGTAATCTAAGGGAGATACTACAGGAACTGACATTTTAAAATTCTTTTCATAGTTTTTTTGTTTGTTTCATTAGATATAATTCTATCTCTGTAAGCCTTAGCTTACATTGAATGGAATGATAGTTATTTGTTTTATTTTAGAAGATCCAGGCACTGTGGACTTTTTTTATTTCTTTCCACAGAAAGGAGAAGTGATTCTTCCCAGCAATGTGAAATTTTCAGCAGGGTCTGATGGAAGTCTGTATGTAGTTTCACCAGGAGGTGAAGAGACTGGGGAATATGTGTGTACTGCCACCAATGCTGCTGGTTACGCTACACGGAAAGTCCAGCTGACTGTCTATGGTAGGTAGCAGCTAAAGTCACATCCAGGGTTGTTGTCTGTCTTCCCCATTGAGTTCTAATTCAGGCTGCACAGCCCACTCAGGTGGATTGTAAATTAGGGTACTCACTATGCAAACAGGATTTAAACTAATCTCTTCATAGTGCTTTTGATTTTGCCCTAGCTCACTGGATCCACTTCTAGGCAGTTTTACAGATGGCTGATACTGAAAGGCCTATCCTTCAGCCACTCTAATTCTCTTAAAACCTCCTGATACCTGTTCTTCTTTGGCTTCTTGGACTAGGATCGTGGGCTGATCCTTATTTCATATACAGATAGGAAGTATCTGTATACAAATAGTTTTCTGTTGATAGAAAAATGAAGCACATGCTTGTAATCCAGCTTTGTGGGCAACTAGTGCTGGTATTTGTGGGGTTGCATGAGGGCATCAGCCACTGCCTGAGCTACAGGCACTGCTCATCAGCATTACAGTGATGTGTCTACTGCAGACATGTCCTTAGAACTGGGATTGTAATGTTATGCACCTGATAAAAAAAGAGATGTTTAAACAAGTAAAATTGCATGGTGTTACTTTTGTACAAATACATATATTCATTGCAGCTTCTTGACATGTTCCATGTTATAGTGAAACCTAGAGTATCCAGGCCTGGAGACCAGCAAGGAAATGCACATGATAAACCCATAGAGATCTCAGTAATTGCAGGGGAAGATGTCACACTTCCATGTGAAGTAAAGAGCTTGCCACCCCCCATAATTACCTGGGCCAAAGAAATGCAGCTCATATCTCCATTCTCTCCAAGGTAACAATGTTTGATGAAAGCAAAAGAGAAGTGAAATTGCACCTAAGCTTTCAAGATTTTGGAAGAGTATGTGATTTCTAATTGCCACAGGATCAATTAGAAGGTATTAAGTTGTCCAGCATGTGGACTCTGTTTTACTAGGTCTTGGAACTCTTCTTTCCCAACCCAAACTTGTTTCTCTTCACAAAGGATGCCAAGACCATGCATTGTTGTGCAGCTTCCATTCCAGTGTGTGTTTATGCCAAGACAAAAGAGGTCCTGTTGTATTTGTACTGCAGGGGTGCCCAGGGACCCACATAATCTGTGTCTGATTAGAAATGTTTTAAAACTGTTTTGATTTTCTTAAGCACTTCCTATTTATGCTCAGGGGAGCATTGTCCATGATTCATGTGAAGTCTGGGCTGCCAGTAAAATACAGATGATGATAAATTATTGGGAATGCTCAGAAGGGCTGGTTGCTCTCAGTGTTTTGGATCCAAAAACTCTGCAGATATTCTTGAACATGTGAAAACATAGCTATCTGCACATAAAAATGTTGACAGCCTTATAGAATGAAGAGTCAGGGACTGTCTTGTATATAGCATGGGCCACAAATCTGGTGTTCTTCCTTATTATTTCAGTATGGGACAAAATGAGAGAGGAAACAAGTAGGTGATGATTCTCTGTGTGTTCCCAGTGAAGTGCCAGGTACTGTCATGGGCTGTGCTGGTGCTTTCTAGTCTTCAGGGTACCTCCAGAGGGGTAAAGGCTACAGCTGTATCCATGAACCAGGAAATGGTCATGCTGGCCAGATGCACACTGTATGCACACAGATGCCTGTTGTCTAGAGCCCCTCAGTGATCCAAGTGGAAGGAATCAGCCACTGTCAGCTGAGTTAAGGAATTACACACCTGAGAAGATGAGCCTCTTTCCCCTGTGGCCAGATCTGCAACTCAGAGACATTCCAGCCTTCAGCCAAGAGCTGCTGGGCCAGCCTGTTTGCTGAAAGAGGCTTGTGCACAGAGAGGTGATTGGTTGTTGGTCATCTGTGTTTGAGATTTTCTGCCCTGTCCTGTGAGCACGTTGCACACATTAACAGATCTGCATTTTTGGTCCCTTACTTGTCCTCATTTTACCTCAAGAGACATTGATAAATTAGGCTACTTGCTCAGGGTTGTTGTGGAGAGATCCAAGTTGTCCAGAGTAGCTCAGTCTATTCCATAAAATTGTTTACAGATGTCAGCAAAAGTTAAAGAATTAGTCCAAACAAAATTGTTTGAGACCACCCAGAGATGATGTTAGAAATGTGACCAGTAAACAAAAGAAGAGTGAAATCAGAATTGAAGAAACTTTTATCAGGAAGCAAGTGTAATTAGTGGACAAAATAATGGAAGATAAGTTGCCCCAGCAATCTATCTTTTGGGGTTATTAAAAAAAAAGTGTTTGGAAAGATATGGGCAGCAGAGGAAGAAACAGAATACCAGACAGATTTGGGTGGCCCAGAGAAAAAGCACTTCACTTTCTTTCCATTAATCTGCCCATTGCAAACCCAAAACACACCATTTGTTCCCATACGATAACTGTCTGAATCAGAGCATGCCAGAGACAGGCAGACAGATGATACCACCAATTCCCACCAACTTGGTCTAAATTTTGTATATGACCTTGAGGCCTAGGTTTGAGTTCCTTCCTGTCAATTCTTAGCTGTAGTTTTTTCTTCCCTCCTCATTTTTCCCCCTATCTCTCTTGCTTTTAATTTCTGCATCAAAAGAGTTGGACTTATCTGGCCAGTGTATCTTTTAATGTTACCAACCTGTGACCTGAGCTGCAGTACTAGTACACATCAATACTATGTAGTTAAATATTTAGTGGCGAATAATAGTGACAGTTTTTGTAAACATCAGAACTGGTGAACTCTTCAGAAACTCCCCTTCTATCTTTAGCAATCATAACATCTCTCCTGTGAGGATGAAATACTACCAAAAGTTGTGTAACTTTCTGCCCCCGATGACCAGGCTGAGCAAAAATTTGTGATGGGAGGTTGAAGAGCTCCATTTCTCTGCCTGATTTTTTTATTTTTTATTTTTTTTTTTTCATTTCTAGAATCTCCTATTTTGGATCTCCTATTCTGGATTTTGGATCTCCTATTTTAGATATTTCCTGTGTGTTCTGAATGTAGTGGTTGAGTACAGCCCAGCACAGTGTGCCCTGTGAATTGATGTTATTTTAGCTCATAGCAATCATGAGCAATGTCTAAGTAGAGGTCATTCACTTCTCAATGCATGTTTGTACAGTGTATCTGTTTCTTATTTTTCCAGACACACTTTCCTACCCTCAGGGTCAATGAAGATCAGTGAGACACAAGTTTCAGACAGTGGAATGTATATCTGTGTAGCCACAAATATTGCTGGGAATGTGACTCAGTCAGTGAAGCTAAGTGTACATGGTAAGTTTTAACTTAAAAGGATAATCATCTGAAAGTTTCCACATGGAATTCAGCATCATAGAGAGCTTTTCAAATATTTTTCCTTATGTATATTAAATGCTATAGATCTATATTCTTTCAAGTCTTATTATCTTATGTAAATTGGTATTGGTTATGTGAAAAAGGAAATATTGCATACATGTGCACACATATGTATACACACACCCCTTCTCCCCCCCCTTCCTTTCATCTTCCTTTGATTCATGGAAGAATTGTAGCACAGTATGACCTTTGGCTCTTCTTCAGTCAGCCAGAGGACTTTTAAGAACTGGAAACTTTTGTTCTAACGCACTCGCATGTTCTCGGTGCCAGAGGTTTATCAGGAGTAAGTTTGCAAACAGTGGCTGAGAATAGTTAGCTGAAAGAGATGTCAAGTTCATTGCATCACAGAATAGTTTGGGCTGGAAGGGACCTTTAAAACTCATCGAGTCCAATACCCATGCAGTGAGCAGGGCCACCTTCACCTAGATCAGGTTACTCAGTGCCCCATCCGACCACGTTCTACCAACTTGATGACAATTACATATCCCAACTGTTCTAGCCAAAGCTTTCTTGCAGGCCTGCTGAGGTGGCAGTGGAACCAGTGTGCAGCTGTGTCACCTGTGGATAGGCAGCTGCTCCTCGTTTTGCAAACAACTGCATGCATGGATGTTCTGCTGTACCCACCTTTGCAAACCAATGCTTTAACCCATTTTACTGTACTTCTCTGGCCGAAGCAGTGCCCTGTGCTCATGCCCACCTGCTCCCTGTCAGTACAGGTATCTACTTGCTCAAGTTAGGACCCATGTTCCCTGTCTGCCTTACCATACATTATCACCTCTCTCTCCTGCTTCCCCATTATGGGCCCCCAGCCACAGTCTCTTACCCACTTACACAATGTCAGATATTCTTAGCTCCACACTCTCGTTTATTCCTCCTCACCTGTGCCAGACAAACACAGGTTGTGGCACATGTGCCCTAGCACTGGCAGGAGGTGCAGAGGAGAGGGTGTGCAGGATCCAAGACCTGGCACAGCCCAGACGAGGCTGATCGGTTATAATTGTGGGTCTACAGATAGTTCTACTGTGATTCATGTGGTGTTTGGAAGTGTTGCTGCCAATGCCCATTGCCAGGACATGTCTTGGAAGTGGGATCACATACCATGAATGTCCAGGATTGCCCCCAGCAGCTGTGAAACGTTCAGGCTACATTAATTCAGTTACAGTGGCTGTAACAGACTGATTCTGTGTGTAGAGAAGTCTGGTATCAGGGCACATCTCTTTTATCTGTAACTGTACATTAATAGAGTCTGGAGAAATGATGCTTGTTATTCTTTCAGACATTCTTTGTCATTTATTTTTTTTATTGTCAACACTCCTTAGAAAGAAAAACACTGTGGCCAAAGAGTTATGTTGAATTTATATTATTCTTTGAGACCAGCAAAATGTCTTCCAGTCATATTTTATCTCCTTGTCTGAGCTTTTATTTGGAAGTATATGAAGATCAGGGATTAGAGGAAGGAAATTAAAATGTCAAAAGGAAAATATAATTAGCTTTGTCATAATAGCTTTAGAATTGCTTTGTATTATGAAGAGCCAGTACCCATAGCTCTTCAAATGTGCTTGTTATAATATTATTTTATGGAAGTCATGCAGTAGAATTTGAAAAGTAGCTTCTTCAAATAAGTTCAGCAGTGAGGTGTTGTCCATATTATGTGATAGAGAACATGCAGATCTGCTTCCTCAGTTGCTCAAGTGAGGGAATTTGGTTTCAGTGAAGAGGACATTTTCTAAAATGACAAAAATGGAAAATTACTTCTTTCAACAATGATCTTGTACATAATTTTCTTCTCATTACTGTGGACTAAACTGGTCTTCCTTAGTTCCTCCCAAGATACAGCGTGGGCCTCGAGTCTTGAAAGTCCAAGCTGGTCACAAAGTCGACATCCCCTGCAGCGCCCAGGGGGTCCCTCCCCCAACAACCACCTGGTTCAAAGGCAGGAGTCCTGTGCCAATGGATGGTGGGCAGTTCATCCACAGCCTGGATGGAGCTCTCAGCATCACCAGTGTCCAGCTTCCTGATGCTGGAATCTACAAGTGTGTTGCTAGTAATGCAGTGGGCAGTGACACGTCAGAGATAACAGTACAAGTTCAAGGTATCTATCTTGGGGCTGTAATCTTGCCTCCTGGGCTGGTTGGGATCATTTCATGCCACTGCTCTCTGGCTTGTGTTTTGGAGGGCAATGCTCTTGGCTGTTGATTGTTTCAGGATGCAGAATCCAAATCTTCTACAGTTGTGTTCTGCTGTTAATTAAGGACAACTAGAACAGGTAAATAGTCTTTGGAGAGTTTGCAGAAATAAGAAAAAGAAACGCAAAAGAAATGTTGGTTTGTTGGGGTTTTTTTCATGAAAAAAACAACTTCAAACTACTTATGATCTGGTTTTATAGTAGGTAATGAAAACCTCTTTGAAAGAATCTCTTCATGTGTTGAGGTATCTCACATTAACAGAGACTGTCTCTGAACTTGAAAGTCTTGTTGCAGCTTTCAGTGGAATTGGAATTGTGTGAGCTGCAGTTGAGCTCTTCACTCAGTAAGCTGTTGACATGGTGATGGGGCAACAGTGGTCAGTGTGCCAATTTGAATATGTAGTGTAACACCTCAATGGATGGGTGACATACATCAATATAGTATGAGTGACTTAAACTAAGCAGGAATTATTTCTTCTTTGTACTAGTCTAAAGGTAACATTCTGATCCCTTTGGATTAGAGGTACTGAGAACCACTTGTTAAATACAACAAAGAACTGCCAGTAACTTAATTATAAATATTCCTTGTCTAGTCTCAGTGTGCACACAAGTTTAAAATGAGATGCAAGAACAAAGGATAGAAGTAATACTAATAAGTGGTATGAGAAAAAACTGTTCAAATAGTATGTTTTGGATTTTGCAGAAACACTGTCTGCCCTCAAAACCCATAGAGCAGGTTTTAGACAGAACCAGTTTCAGTAACACTTGAAAACCTCTTTGTACTGCTCACTTCCTAAACTCTTGCTGAAATCAACTGCTACACTATTGTCAACGTAAAGGGGGTTATTGGAATTATGTGACTGAGAGACACTGAGAAGCATTATGTATTGCCAGGCCATATTCTTACATTCAAGAGCAGTGGCCAAAAATTCTTTGGGGGATCTAATTTTCTTTCAGAGTCTCCTACAATCGAGGATCTGGACCCTCCATACAATAGTCCCTTTCAAGAAAGAGTGGCAAATCAACGGGTTGCATTCCCATGCCCAGCCAAAGGTGGGTGTCATTTCTACTGCCTACACTGACAGAAGTATATTTTCCTGTTGACCACTGAGAATTATCAAGTTTCTGTGTGCTTCTTGTTATGGTGCAATTGTACAATCTGCACAGTATTTTCTGTATATACTTTGTGTGGAAACATTCAAACTAACAGTGATTTAAATAACCACCATGGGTGCCAGTTCTGTGAGAAGTCATTGCTAGCCAGCAAGGATGTTATAAAGTTTAAAACTAAGATGTTTATTGTTAAAATCATACTGTAATGGTATGATTTCCTCTAAGTTTAAAGCTCATGACCTCCTTGTGCACTGTCCTTGCCAGCAAGACTTCCAGCAAGCAGTGGGAACTGTTTGCATCTGTTTGTTCTGAGCAAAGCATTTCTTGAAGTTTCACTTTTTCCTTGCTAGGTATTCCAAAGCCTGTCATCAAATGGCTGCGTAATGGAAGAGAGTTGACAGGCAGTGAAGCAGGGATTTCCATTCTGGAAGATGGGACACTGCTGATCATAGCTTCTGTTTCTCCTTCTGATAATGGAGAGTATATCTGTGTGGCCAGCAATGAAGTTGGAAGCATAGAAAGAAAGTACAACCTGAAAGTTAATGGTAAATGATGAATACAACTATTGGGGGACTATTTTTGAAGAACATCATCTGTTTCATTGTTGGAAATTGCATGCCCCAAATTTGCCCATGTGCAGTTAAATGATAAAATCTAATCTGAGTGCTTCCATTTCTGTCATGCTGATACTCTCTATATTTTTTCTATTGTTTCTGTGTCTTTTTTCCATGACTTTATGCACAAGCTATCTTTGTTTGGCTCAAAGAGCTGGGTGCAACTTACTGGTAGAGGGAAAACTTTCATGCAAATAACAAATTCTTTTTTTTACTGTAGAAATTTAAGATTGGGTGATGGACCTGCATTTCAGATATAAGTATGGGAAGAGTCATTTATCAGAATGAGCACAGGAGAATTTTGGCTCCTGATACTCTTCTTCCTGAATCCTAGTCAGAAAACATAAACTCTACAGGTGGCCTTGAGATATGTTTTGATATTTTGCTTCTTACAGAGCACTTTTATTCCAGCCTTGTTCACTTCCCATGATAGATAGCTCTGTTCTCTAAGCAGGATTTTATTCTGACTTTATTGTGCGAAAAGCAGGAATTCCATCTTGTGCCAGCAGGGCTCATCAGCAGGGTTTGAACTTTCTAATCCACCACATAAGGCCGTTCTCTTTGCCTTCGTAGTGGGACAAATGACAGGTAGATGTTATTGGGATGACTGGAGCAGTGTAGAGGAAGGATGACTCTGGAATCTGCTTCCTTTTTATGCTAAGCAAATAACGTGGGATTTAAGATTAAGAATAAAGTTAAGATTAAATAAGATTAAGATTAAATAATAAAATTATTCTCTTAAGATGTTGATGGTGATAGTGTTAGAGTGAATGTCCTTGGGAATCACTGTTTTTGGGCAAGAGAAGAACCCTGTTTTTTGATGAAGAGAAGGACAAAAAGACACATGTCCAGCTCCAAAAGGCAAATGGAAGTGTTGGGGATGGAATGAAAAGGGTCTGAAAAATTTAGATTAGAGAGGTCCTTGACTTGGGAGGAAGGAGGAAGTGGAAAACCACTGGTATAAAAGGCTTAGTACATGACTTTGAATTTTCTTGTAGTTCCTCCTGAGATAAGAGATCAAGAAAAGGTGACAAATACATCTGTAGTTGTCCATCACCCTGTCAGTCTCTTCTGTGAAGTATCTGGTAACCCTTTCCCAGTCATCTCCTGGTATAAAGAAGATATCCAGGTATGTTCAGGTAACCTAACTGAAGTAGTGTAGCTGTCATCAGCCAGTTCTGTGTTGGCTTTGGAGTGCTTGATATGAGAGCTCATTTAAAGTAAATTCATGTGCATGCCTTTGTGTGTATTTAAACTGCACTGAGAACACCTGCATGGAAAAACAGCTAAATATGGCTAATCCATTCATTCAGCTGTTTAGTAAGTCAAAACTGAAGTCTTAATTTTCAGGTTTCCCCTAGGAATTAGCCTTAGCAATCTCCCAGAATTGTAGATGCCAGAGTCCTTGCAGAGGGGACCAGTAATGGTATTTTCTTTAGTCTTGTTGATGGAGTAATAAGAATTCTTGGAAGTTATTTGAATCCCTCTGGATTATCCTTCAGTCCTCTGCATCTACTTGTAGCTGAAAAGTGATAGTTTAAGGTGAGGAGAGACCCCTTTATGCACCTTTCTGCCTGACCATTACTCATAGACAAAATAATTGTGAAGTTTTCCCACGTATGTATTTTCAGCTACAAGTCATCTTGAATAGATTGCAGAAGTTGAGGAGATTAGTGCTGTAACTGAAAGGGGAAACATATTATCCTGAGACTAAAACTACCATTTTCTTATAAAAATCCAGCTGTGATACTTGGCTGGTGTAACTTGGATCACATAAGGCTAATGTCTTGAGTTCTTTTAAGGTTGTGGAAAGCAGTACTCTCCAGATTTTGCACAATGGGAAGATTCTGAAGCTCCTTAAAGCTGCTACTGATGATGCTGGACAATATTCATGCAAAACCATCAATGTAGCAGGAAGTTCTGAGAAGCTGTTCAACCTAGATGTACTAGGTTAGTTCCATGGCTTTGCTTTTCTGTTTGTTCTTTGTTTTTGTTGTTTTTTTGTTTGTTTGTTTTAAGATGATGATATTTAAGAAGCCAGTACATTTAAAATAATTACAATCAGGTTCTTTCTCTCACTGCCCATTAAATATTGGCTGCAAAAGCACTTATGGTGGCTTCTGAATACTTAAACCTTTCCACTCTTGCAGTAACAGACAAAATGCTGCTTTTCATTACTGGATTTTGGTCTTTGATACTTTGGTTTGTATTTTGGATGTACAGCAGTTTAACTTAGGAGTTGTTTTACCTACAGTTCACTAACACAAGTGTGGCAGTGCTTGTCATGGTAAAAATGATGTTGTGATCTATCAAGGACTCCCTTTGCAGTGGAAAGTGCAGTTGTTTTGGGGAAAAAGGATGATCCACTCCTGCATTTCTTCTAGGTTCATAGCATACCTTCCTGCTTACATACCAATTCTTCCTGTAATACTTGTCTTTTGAAAGTTCCACCAAGTATCATAGGTGCTGATAGCCCTGGTGAAATGGCAGTCATCCTCAACCAGGAAATCAGTCTGGAATGCAGAGCCAAAGGCTTCCCTTTTCCTGACATTCACTGGTTCAAAGATGGCAAGTAAGTGTATTGTAGCTTTTGTGATCTGTGTCTGGGTTATTCCTCCCTTAGAACACAGAGGATGAGCTATACCAGCAAGCTCTGCTTTCAACTATTCAGTGTTCACTGGATATAATTTGTGGTGGTGTGAGGTGGTAAAATCTTTAATCAGGGGTTTGCATCCTGCTTTTCTTTGTGAACTGTGCCATTACTGACCCTGGCACTTGCTGAAAACATCTATAGTATCTGAAGCAAAACACTGCTTGAACCAAGATGGACTGAACCATTTCTTGGAGTTTATTCTATCTGGATTATTTTAAACATCAGTTGTTAAAATACAGTTGTGTTGCTTGCATGATTTTTTCATTGGTAGAGAGTACCCACCTCAAATGTTTTTCTAGCCAGTGCCTTGTGCAGTTCTGCATGTAAACATGAAAGGTTTTAAAATGTGTGTAGCCTGTGTGTTTCAATTCCTCATCTTATCTTCCAGGAAAGCATACAAAGAGAAGAATGCTTGGCAGCTTAAATATTAGCTGAAAAATGAAATGGGGTTTAAAAGTTTTTAGATAGTGTTGGTGTTGAACAGTGTAGTTCAGTATGGACACTGGCTGGTATTCACAGATGTGACAATTCCCTGTGGTGAACACAGACATTTTGTGATCAGCAAAGGACATTCATGTCCTAAGTAATTAGAAACAGGAACTGAGATCAGGAATGGGACTCTGGCTCTCATGCTGGCGTCCTGGATGACCTGAGTCAAGTACTTCTGCATTTGGGTTTCTCTTAAGAACTAGGAATAGTTAATTATAACATGGTAGTTCTTCAAGAAAGTGCCAAATGCTGCTCTCTAATGGTACATTTACTGCCATTGAAGAACATCTTATTACTATCAGTTTCAATTAATGTTGAAAGGATGAAGCCAGAGTTCTATGAAGCAAAATAACCTCTATTCCAGGCCCCTGTTTTTGGGGGATCCCAATGTTGAGCTTCTGGACAGAGGTCAAGTTCTACACATCAGGAACGCTCGAAGGGTTGACAAAGGTCGTTACCAATGCAGTGCCACCAACACTGCTGGCAAACAAGTGAAGGAGGTCAAGGTGGTAATCCATGGTAAGTCTGCAGAAAGCCTGATCCTAGGAGGTTCTTTGGTTTTACTCTTAAGATTTCTTTTCTGAATGGAGATACTTGGACAAATATAAATCAAGGCTCTGATCCTGCAAAATGTGTGTTAACAGAACCAAATATGCATCTGTTCACAAAGTGATCTTTTTGAGCATTTATGTGCTTTTTTATAAATTTCTAATTGGTGAAAGCAAAAAATCTTGAAGGGCCTTCTCACATCTTGTTACTCTTTAATTTTGACTAATGTATTTAATTATCACATGAGCTTCATTATTTTCATCTTAGGATAAAATTAATTTGAAGGTGTGTTTTTTTTTTAATTTGAATACACTCATGGTCTTATTTTCCCTAACCTAGTGCTGGGAGTAAGTTCAGCCAGGAATAAATTAAAGTTAGTGTAAAGTTATAAAGTAAAGTGCAAAACCAGTAAGAATCAGTCCTAAAGTCTTTGAGAAAGAATGTTCTAGATGATCTTCAGGTAGTGTGATATGTCATCTTGCTTCAAGTTGTGTAAACTGAGGTTATTCATAGCAAAGGAAGAAGCACTGCCCTGAAATAACAGGACTATTATTCTTGTGAAATTTATAGCACATGGAGTATCCTTTTTGTGTTTTAACAAGTAGTGGAGTCTTGGCAAAGACATGGAGAACAGACAATTCTTGTGATTCATGTAGATAAGTTGAATGTAAATTAGGTCATGATCAGTTGGAAGAAAAAGATGGAAGAGATTGATGGAAGAAGGAAAAAGTAGCTTTTTAAGAAAGACTTCAAAGGAGACAAGAAGAAAAGGTTTTCAAATTTGCAGACAAAGAATCAGTAGAGATCGCGGGGAACAAGTGCAGAAATGTGTAAGTGGTGTGTGAAAGGGTAGGTGTTTGAATCCATGAGCCTTAAGCTGGTGAGTCCTCCTTTGCTATGGATTTTCTTCTGAAGATTGTCTTTCTTTCTGATAACTGAATTTATAATACACTATTTCCCTTATCTGGGACATCTCTGGAACATGGAGCAACCACATGCACAGATATGTGCCTGTACAGCAGTCATAGTGAAATCTCTTTCCACTGGGGACAAAGAAAATACTGTGAGGACTCAGAATTGATAGTGGCTTTTTGATATTAGGGCAATAAAAGAATAAAACCCTCCCAGATGAGCAGACCTTACTTCAGGCTCTTCAAAACAGAGAGGTGAATTTGTGATAGTAAATATCTCTAGTTAGACATTTCTTATTAATCCTGGCTGGACAAGTGGAAGCCCACAGAGTCAGTGAGGAACCTAGGTGTGATTTAGCTCTCTAGCCCCACTTTTGGCTTTGAGATTTTCTCAAAACAGCATGTTACAAGTGTTCTTCAGCTCTGTGGGTACAAGTATTTGCTGGTAGAGAAACACATTCACCTTTGAACTGGGTGTGTTTCAGCTTATTTTATAGGTTTCTATGATTCTTACACAAGTTAATTAGGAAATGTTTCATCATGGCTTGCTGATCTGAAAGACCCATCTCATAGATATAGATCCATTTACTGACACTTTGCTTAATGTTTCTGTGGTGGCATTTTAAATAAACACTGTGGAAGTCAGGGGAAGTCTAGGATATGCTGAGTGTTTTTGGCAACAGAGGAGTTAATGTGTTTGCCAGATGTCTGGTACTTTCAGCAGTCATAAATTTAGTTGTTGCCAGTTGCACTTTGTTTTTATTACTTCTACAGAGATTTACTAACTCTTTATATTGGCTGATTTACACGAGAGCTTGTTTGCTAGAAAAAAATAAATCTGAATGCTGCAGCCTAGCAAGCAAGGGAAATTACTGTGGGCCAAAAGTTTAAAAAATAGGAGCTTAAAGCTGGACTGTTAAGCTTGTATTTAGTCTCCAAGTAAGTGACTTCATCCTCAGAAGTTTGGAGTGCTGAGCAGTTCCCCCTCCAGTCATAGAGGCTATTTGATATATGTGGTATTTTAAAGAGCAGGTTGCTGTTCCTCACTGGGAGGATGCATCTCCCAAAGTGTGCAGGGATTCTCTT